CATGATGACTTTCCCCGTAACGACGCTAGGTTCGGAATGTGAAATGTGATTTATCGATCTGTTCAGTGTCGATGGATGGAGATAGTGCTGCGGTTTTGAACGGAAATGAGATTGCGCAATTGGAGTAGCATTGCAGTGAAGGTGGAAAGGCTTGCGAGAGTGTGTACAAATTTAAGACGAACGTTAGAATGATGAGAGAGTGAAAATAGAGTACGAGTTAGAAGTGGACATTGCGGCAACTGCAAAAGGGCAGGCCTTTTTGGATTTGGATCCTGGCTGATATGATTAGGCCGCTCATGTAATCAGGATTAAATTCAGGATAGTGGGTCGAACAATACCTACTTTAAATAACGAGTGCTCAAGCTGGCTCTGTTGAACCATAGGTGCCTCTTTGATGACGATAGGCCCGCTTGGCTTCTCGAAGATTGCATTGATCTTCTGGGCCTTAGGGATGCAAAAATTATACTGATGCGATGAGCATCGTGCGACGACGCGACCGAACGAGGTCCGATGTCATCAGACTCCTCACCAGCTTACGATTCAATATTCGGCAGACATTGACCATGCTTACGACCAAGCCTGAGATTGCAGATAGTACAGAGTAAAGCAAACAACAGTCATGGCACACAGATCAATCCTGATCCCAAAAACCAGGCTAGTTAACACATCATAGACGCGGCTGTCCATCTTGTTGTCTATATTTACGAATATCGAACGGCGGAACACAATCCATAACTATGCTCGACGATGTGCATGAGAACATCGGAATTGTCCAAACAGAAACCTCTCTCAGGTATATACGGCACCATTGCGCCACATCACCCCCCTAACCTTAAGAACCAAAAGACGAGTTAGATCGGGAGATCAATACGCGGAAATGAAAGGAAATACTTGCATGGACGTACGATAAAAGCGGACTCTGATGTCCCTTTCCTTTGTAGAAGGTGCGGCACAGGTCAGCGCGATGGTATCATTATTCTGCACATGCCTTCAGAAGCTGGTGAAGAGGCTGCATCCATGGGACTGCAATGTGGTAATATGCGAGGAAGGGGGGGGGGGGGGGTTGGTCAAGACATTCTGGATTAGTTTGAAAATAAACACGAGATGATGGCGCACATACTCCAAGCAGGGTACAAATACGTGAAGTGAAGCAGAAAGTCCAACAAGCTTTGAAGCACCTGAGCCGAAGTGAGGTGACGCCCTACTTCTTCCATCAACGTTGAATTCTGATGGAGACAGGCATCCTTGACAAGCCACTGTACAGTGCTAAATGTAGAATGCTGGAGTATTGGGGGGAGTCTAAGGTTAAACGAATAGGAGGCTTTTTTTCATAACTTACCACCATCTCAATGCTGCCTTGGATAGCTGAAATGCTTCCACGCCCGATAAGTGCCTCCCCAATGTCCGCCAACTCTTGCGCAGCCGTTGTTATCGCCGTATACGACTGAGAATCGGAAGCATCTATGTTTAGCAGGACCGTATTCGTTGCGGCCATTGCGCGGTGAACAGCAATGAATGGGCTGGTGGGCTTGTATTCTTCAAGAAAGTATATGCCCCTGGCATCGCTGATCGGAACGGCCCACTCAGGCGCATTCACGGCTTCTTTTAGAGGCGCAAGGGGCTCCCTCAAAACCGTGTCATCGTCCTGACCTTTTGAGAGAGGGGAACGCCACGTCAACTTGTCATTTCATCATGATAGTGTCATGTAACACACTAACCTGGATTGTCCCTAAGGGTCCGTTTGGCGTTGAGTAGGATTGAGGCCTGGCGAACGCTCAAAGCGACTGGCGTGAGCGATTCAGTATTGCCTAGGGGGAAAGCGATGATAACGATTTTCGCTATCGATGAAATGCGTTGCTTACCTCCTCTGTGGATCCGACCGAAAAGCCTTCAATACGTTCCTGATAATAAAGGGAACGTCATGTGTGAGGCGAAGCAACGCAAACTCTTAACACGCCTCAAACTTACCTGCCAAGGAAGTTCCGAAGGCACGTCGGAGAGTGCGACAATAAGAGTATCCGTCAGATAAGGGCGCTCGATAAGGCAATTTCATTTGCATCATCAACCGACCTTGGAGCAGACGGAGCCGTGGCTGAAGCACTACCAGAACCCGAGGCGCGCTGTGGATATAATTCCCGTTCAAACGTGTACCGAGCGGCAGACAGCGCTACGCTACGGGCTTCGGAAGGACGACAGGACCGTAGGAAGTCCCCAAGTATCGCAGAGGCCCACACAACTCCATCCAGTCTTCCGTTGGGTGGCTGAGAAAAGTCGAGGTGACCGCGAAGTTCGAAAAGGAAGTATGGCTCCAATGATGAAAATCCCCCAATCTGACACACTGTGAGATAAATGGCATTCTTCAAGGCTTGGTCTGTAGTTGGTCCCCCTTGGCGGACGTCATCGAAAAAAGCTGGAATATTGAGGATATATTTATAATGTCCGCGGAAAGGCAGGAAAACGCGGGGCCTTGGAAAGAAAGTCGGAAATCAGACCTAAAAGCGGTGTATGTAAAAAGATAGTCGAGGAGCCCTGCGGACATGACGTCGGTCTGCTGAAATTGGAGAAGAATTGCCTCAATGAAGGCCGGAGGAATAGGCCAATCTCGCTCGGAGTCGAAAGGACAACTCCGGTGCGAGAAATGCCTGAACTATCTTCTGTACTGAGGGAGGATGCCGGGAAGAACGGAAGTGTTGGGGATGATGGACGTGTCGTGGTCATGGTCAATGGAGAACCACCTTCCAAACGCTCAAGAAGTTTATGAGAAGAAATTTCCTCCTTGAAAGAAGAGACTTGGAACTTTCTTCCAACTCTAGCACGCGCCCTTCCAATCGATCAGTAATGCTTGTCCTAATGTATCCTTCTTCATAGACGCAGGTTCGGACATTCCTTGGACAACGAAGGCAGGCGGGCCGTGTCTCATCACATTTCTGTTCATTTCCGGTGTAACCCTAGTACTGCGGAAGACGCTGGAAACATGGCTCACCTTCCTTCTTCGCCGACACTCCAAACACGATTCTCCATAACCTGACGAAGGCACTGGATTAAATGAAGAGGGTGTGTTGTCCTGCATTGTGCTAGAAAGGCCCCTGAATTCTCGGTTATACCCGGTCCAACAGATGCAGCTTTTATAGTGGAATTGGGACAAGGACGCGTGTTCACACAACGACAAAGTCATCAGCTTGAGTAAGGCCGACTGAAATTCTAGGAGGCACCTGCACCAACTCGTAAGCTTAACACGCTGTCGCCCCGATTGAGCCCAGTGAACCCGGACAACTCGCAAGTGAGTCTTTGGAAATAGACTTCTGAAAGCCAACGATCTTCACTGAACGGATGAAAATTAATCATCCAATCTGTCACATATTCCCTTAAGGCCATGATTGCTGAGCTGGCACTATTCTAGCAGCATCGAGGTCGATCTCATTGGACGAGCGACTAAGTCTTCATTACGAGTTGGTCACCTGCCTATCTCATGTCTTCAAACGTGATATAGACTCAGCATGAGTAGTTTTTGTGGTCCATAGCCCAGAAACAGCTCAGAGTTACTGCAGCAAGCGTAGTCGTTATCCGGAAGTCAGGGCAGCCATCGGCGAGTCGGACAAGGCCATCCCTAACCAGTGCAAGTGCGCCTTGGGAATCTCGGAGCGTTGGTATATTTCTGAGTAAGCGGGCAGCTGGTGGGGGTTGGGCTACATCGCTGATCGTTGCATCATGACATCGTTTAACATCATTGCGTGTCCGATTGGCAGCGCATGGCACAATGTCAAGCATTGTTTTTCCAGACGTTTCTGGCCCCACCCCGGGGACATTTTTCGGAATTACTGGAGTGATGCGATAGGTGATGTTTGGCGCGAGCTGGAGTGTTTCACGAGCGACCTCCGGCACCGGAACCAAAGTAAGATTCGCACATTCCAGCCCCTCCGGTTTACTTGGATAGAGGCTGATATCGAGATCATGTTCCAGAGGAATGCGAAGTGTAATCACTGGTCAGACGCTCCGGTAGGCTCTGTAATCACTGCTTTGCGACTCAAATTGGGGCATGGAAAACAGATCGATCTACATGAGCGAGTCATTCATCGGAGAGATAACTAGCACAAGGAAGCGCACGAGTGGAGTTTAGCCAAGTGATCTGAATGACGCCACCGGGAACTGTAAACTATTGAATAAATCATCACAGGCTCCGTGTTGGCGTCGGAACGGCACGCTCCAGCAATACGACAGACTGAATTGGTCCGGGTAGCTATAATACATGACAGATCCCGCGGTGGATCAGTGTTACAGGCAAGCCACTCGTTCCCCTCACATGTTGCACAAATCCTCGCTAGCAGCTTCTAAGTCACCTGGGTAGAGTCGCAACTCCGTCCAACCTCATTTCCGTGCATGGACACGACGCAATATCGATCGCACTGAAGCACATTGTCACGTTGGCTGATGACCCTGCAATTTTGCTCCAGACTCACTCCAGCATTCAAGTCTTCTCTACCCACAGTACCCGTTTAATTGTAATGCAGGAGTTATATTTTATCAGATCTGCCAGTTATGCGGCGAGCGCCCCGACTAACCTTGCTAACCACCATCCATAGGATCATACGCTCTTTTCAACTAGGGAACATGATAGTCGCCCAAAAAATTTCGTCATTATAAGAGCCGATTCCAGTAATGCTAACTGTTCGAGACAAGACTACGTACCGAGAGCCGTTGAACCGTGTCTCATTCAAACAGGATGTTAATTCAATGACGATGTCTTGCGTGAGCATGTCCAAGGCATCTGGCGCGACAAGGTCATGAATACATAGCCCAGACAGCTCTTTGGGAACTGCTGATATTTCTTCGAGCTTCACGCATTCTCTAGTACCCGAGCTAGTAAGGAGAATATAAAGAGGCACTTTCTTATTTATCGAGATACCGTTTTCTGACGATGTGCCAATTGAATGGTTCATTGAGATTGCCGGGGGCCTGCTGTGCTGAATCCAACGAACGTACTTACTTCCGACTACGTAGTCATGGAGCTCCAGTCCGATGTCCATTTAGCTCACAAGCGCCTTCGCGATGAGCTTTCCCTGGCTGAAATCCCGAATCTTGAGGGTCAGTTTACTTTAGAGGATACGCAACGAATGGGCTGGGGTAGTTTCGGTGATATATACGTGGGGAATTACCGTGAAATTGTGAGTGCCATGGCTTCATCTTTATCGGACCAGCTGATGTTGGGGCGGCGTTGAAAGAGAGTCTGCATTAAAGTATTGAAAGAAATCCCCGTTTTCGATGATCGTAAATGGGATCAGTTCCTCAGGGTGCGTTTACATCCACGATCATGATCCTTAGCAAGGAGCCGACTTTCAAATAAAAGAGGCTCAAGCGCGAGATTCGGGTGTGGCGAGACCTTATTCACCCGAATGTAGTTGCACTGTTTGGGTGGACCTCAAAAGTGATACGGGACAACATCAGTGTGAGCCTGATATCGACCTGGTGTGATGGAGGGGATGTCAAAAGTTATCTCCGTCGACATCCCACGGCAAATCGCCAAATCCTCGTGAGCTGCATCTCCTTCCCATCGACCTCCGATGATTATCAACATTCTCCAGATTAAAGACACCTGCGAAGGTCTTGCATACCTTCATTCCAAGCGGATAATCCATGGTGACATAAAGCCGGTGAGGAGTCCTTGGTTGCATTCACCATTGCCATGCCAAAATCCTCAATGTGCATTCAATTCAAATCACAGGAAAACATCGTAGTGATGGAAGCAACCGGGGTAGCAAGATTGTGTGATTTCGGTCTATCATCGCTACTCGATGATCTATCCATATATGCACCCTCTTCGAGCGTAGCCGGGACTCTGAGATTCATATCGCCTGAACTGTTTGCCGGGGGAAAACGAAACGAAGCAAGTGACATTTGGGCGTTTGGGTGCACGGCGGGAGAGGTGAGGCATCGCATGCAGGATAGGGGTTTGTCTCGCTAATGCATTGTCAAGATATTGCGTAATGAGCGCCCTTACCGTCACATCAGTTCTGATTGGCAGCTTCCGGACGTTGTTAAATCCACACCCCCATATGTTTGGCTCAGCCCAACCAAGTTCGAGAAATGCATTGCGTCTTGCTGTGAACATCACTTAGACCGGAGACCGAGCAGTTTTGAGCTCTGTATCCGCTTCGAGTGAGCGCTCTATTGCACGAAAAAAAAAACGCACGGACTCACTGTTGTAGGATGGCATTAATGTCTTCGAACCCCGTCAATACGTTAGAACAGCTTTCTGATGTGCTTCAACTCGGGTCCCTCCCAATACTTTGGAGATATACCCTCAAAAGAGACACCCCGGAGCTTACTACTGAATTCAATGGGATCATATCACTGAGCACTCGAACCGCGTGCCGCGAGTGGTGCAACGTTGTTTGTCGATCTCCCTCAACGGATTCGGAAATCTTAGCAGCGCTCACTCAAGTCACACCTGCGCTGCTTCATTGGGTGGCTGCCATGGGGATCATGGGAGAGCTTAACCGCGCTCTCGAAGGACTGTATGATTTACGCGTGTGGGCGGTGCGTATGACTCATTCGCTGCAACCCTATTTTGCACCCTGGCGCCCAAGACAAGGAGGACTACTCGTTCAAGAAGCTTTTTTATGACCTCTACCAGCTGATAATGCAGTCCCGCAACGCGATCAATGAATGTCCCCTCTCCGTCCTAGGTGGCAGTCATTCCTTTGTTCCTGACAAGAGTATTTTGAGGTCAGCATTTCCCGGGACGTTCATGAGAGCAAGAATCCGATCAGCTTCACGATCGACAGACGTCGTCTGGTACGCACGATATACGATACCGGAAGTGGAGGACCGCCTCGCAGTCTCCGCCAATGGTCGTTATGTAGTCTTCGCTGAGGAAAGGAGACTCACAGTTAGTAACTTGGCGACCCAGGAAACCTCTGCCACATTGGAGCGAGACATCGAGCCTGATTATGTTGTCATTTCTCCTGATGGCCATCTTGTTGCCTTTAGCTCGTATGACCACATCCTTCGCATATGGAGTTGGGACAACGCCAATTCATTCTGCGGGGAGCTCGCGGATCAGGGTGGAGGCACCGGGTTCATTCGTTTTAGCCCTGGTGGGAAGTATCTTGCTGGCGAAGTTGGGGATGCAGTTCGTATATGGGATACCGCAGACTGGAAAACACTCGCGCTTGTTCCAGGGAAAGGCCTTCCACTTGGAATATATTCCTCACCGTTTACTCCGGATAGTCGTTGCCTCGCTTTGCGCCAATTCTTTCCAGATACGAGAAGGAGTCAACTGGACGTTTTTGACATCACCACTCAACCATTAACTCCTCTTTTCGCAGTGGACTGCACCAGCATGGGCATCAACTTCTCACCCGATGGTCAACATTTGGTTTTGCAGAACAGTGACGAGATCCAGTTGTGGACCATTTCAACACGGCGCAAGACTTACGCGTTCAAGGGGTCCGGCTTGACAACGTCGCTCGACGGCCGTTACGTAGTTTCCCGTTTAGATGAGAACCCTATAACCATCTGGGACATCATAACCCGGACAACTACCCATTTCCATCACGCAGGCATGAAGCCAGGATACTTTGAATTTTCACCAAATAGTCGTTATCTCGCTGCTAGGACAGATGATACCGTCCACATCTGGGACGTTCAGGACCCTGATCAAGGTGTCCACCTCAAATTGTCCTTATCGGCATTGGGGATTGTCGATGGATACGACTTCTCGTTCTCACCTGACGGCGGTTACCTGGTTTTCTTTGGTTCCACGTCGCAGTTAATAGTAGAAGTGCCGATTTGGACCGACACAGCTGATTGGGAAGGGCACTGCTACGAGGTAGAATGTGTGCGATTTTCGCCTGATGGAAAGCGGCTGGTTTCAGCCTGTGTAAACGAAGTCCATGTTTGGGACACCTCACTCTGGACGAGCATCTACCGCCTTGATGCGTTCACTGTTGACTTTTCAAATGACGGCAGGCGCATCCGCATTGAATGTACGAATGGAAACGCTGAAATACACGATGTGCTCTCAGGAGAGGAATTGCAAGACCCCCTGCAATGGATCTCAACTGATATCCCCATTTACCCGCCACCACGGATGCCGGTTTTCTTAAGCCGAGATAGGCGGAGTCTGTGTGCCGTGAAAGGAGAAAGAACCATTCACCTTTGTTGGCTACCCGATTGGTTCGAAACTAGCACCGATATCGCGCAGTATGAAGAATTGGTGTGTCTAGGAGGTGAAAAGGGGGAAGTTCTATTCTTGGACATCTCTGGCTTTGAAATGCCCGACATTTGATCTAGTCCCGATTGCTATATGGTAACTGCGAACTGCCCTGACATGCTTACGAATAGGAAGCTGACCAAAGTCTCTGAAGGCTATTCCCAGTATTTTCCAGCAGGCGAATCGTCCACTCCATCTCCATCCTGGATAACCTATGGGCCGAGCCTCATTAGGTGACGACGTTGGCCCTCACAAGCGTGCGAAACTTCAGCATGCCGCTACGCATAGGTTAGCTTCACAGTTCGGCGGAGTATTCATCGGTGGTACCTGGCATTCCCTAATTCAGGCATGATGACTTTCCTCGTAACGACGCTAGGCTCGGAGTGTGGTTTATCGATCTGTTCACCCACTCCTTTTTGTGGACAGTTAACCCTGTACTTAATGGGTCTGATGCAGCTTCGTCCATGCCCCCTAAGCCAAACTTTTCTCCTGTCCATGGATCAAGATAGTGCTGCGATATTGAATGGAATGAGATTGCGCAATTGGAGTAGCATTGCGGTGAAGGTGGAAAGGCTTGCGAGAGCATGTACAAATGTCATTAAGACGAACGTTAGAATGATGAGAGTGTGAAAATGGAGTATGA